ACACGCTGGGATTTAAATTTGCCAGCAAAGCTGGGAGGCGTCGGCAGAAGGACTTTGTCTAAAAGGAAACAATAATAATTTCCCAAAAACCCCCCAACAAAACAATAAATCCAACCAACCAATCACACACCTCAACAAGACTTCCCAAAATCTAGACCCCCCAGCCATACCAAGCAAATATCAGCCACATTAAAATAGGATATTTCTTCCACATATTACCCATAACTTTGCTTATCACTCCAAGTTAATGGCATAATAAGTTAAAAGAAAAAAAGAAACCATTTTCTTGCATTATAACTGGAAATTGGAAGGATTTGTACTGGCAAATCCACAATAAAATTCTTCAGACTCACAGACCCTGCAGCCCCACACATTTCACTCACACAGCAGCTTTCCCCACGCTTCTTAAAGCAGAACTGATATAACTCAGATTTGCTGCTTCCTTTAAGAACCAAATACGGGGAGGAGTTTACATCAGAATTTGGGGATTTCCTGCACCGTCCTTGCACAGAAATCCCAAATACCACTGTCAGCTTTCTCTGGCAGACACAATCGGCACGGCACCTTGTCAGTGTTCTCTTATCAAGCTCTGTGCCAAAGGAAACACCAGCACCTCCCGCCCCAGCACCTAAACCAAGACCCCCGAGCGCGCCTTCACTTTCACTTTCCTTACAGCACCCGTGCAAGCCCAGCACCCAAACCCCTTTACAGCCCGCACCTCACGCTGCCCGACAAGCGCTGCGATTTCGGGAACCGAGGAAAAATTTCCGCCTCTCCTCCCGATTCCCGTAGGATGCTCCGAGGGTGGGGACAGGGCGGAGGCTGCCCCGGTTCCCTCCCGCCCCCCGCAGCCGAGCCCGCTTGGCCGCGTCCCTGCCCGGCCGGCGACAACCGCGGCGACAGCGCCCGCCTCGGCCGGGGCAGCGACACCCAACCCCCACGGGCTCTGCCACAACTCTTTTGTTCCTCCTGCCACAGACTGAACAATTCGTGTGTCATATAGGATACAAGAAGGACAAAAAGACCCATGCAGCCATTACACTTCTTTTATTATTCCAGGAAAGGGATCCACAAAACACATCCCACTGTAAGAAAAGCTGTTGTAGTTGTCTCTTTGGTATTATGTAGGTAAACTATGGTGCCTAAGAAAATACTAATAGAATTAACATATAACAGTAGCAGAAAAATAAAACAAATCAAGGCTTTGTCTTTTAAATACTACATAGGTGCCATGTGCCCTTCAGTTATATTCTCCGATAAAGGACCAGAACCAGGTGACAGGGAATAAACCCAGGTGTCCTGGGCTGATGAAACAAAGGCACTCACCCCACAGATACTACACAGGGACATCTGGCACAAAAGCATACTTTGGTTTCCATTCTTCCCTAAGTACTTCTCCACTTACCAGCCAAAGACACACATCTACAAAGGATGCTCAGCAAAACATGGAACAGGCTGCCATAAACTCCTTTCAGCTCCAGGCAATGTATCCAGGCACTAAATGGATGAGACTAGAAGGTAAAAGGGCAAGGCAGCTACAAATGTGCTCCAGCCTTGTCACAAGCAGAAGTAACTTCTCCTTTCTCATGGGCAGTCCCTGCCTGACTCTGCCGGCTGCACACCAGAAGTGAAGTCAAGCACAGAAGCAGCACTCACAGAGCAAGTGGGATGGTTCTTGTGTCAGCAAGAACCTGCAGATCTCTGCACCCAGGTGCAGGGGGGCTTGGACATGGCACGTGCTCTGTTTGTCTAAGCAGCTCTGTTATTTCTGCCAAGCCCATGAACAAGACTACACAAGGGGGTTCAGGCACCACTGAAAGAGACAATTAGTGCAAAAGGAGTCACCTTGTTCTTGGGAAATGTAAATTTATTGTGTGATGGCACCTATGCTGCCTAGACATCTCCTACTTAGGGAGAGCAAAATCTGCCACAGAACAAAATGCTGCGAGTTTTGTTGTGCCGGATGAAGAAGAGGAAGGGATGATCAGCAGTGAA